TTGAATTGAATGACAATTTAATCACGGTAAAATATGTTCATTTTGTTGTAGTTGTAGCTCCCGAGCCAGCACGTCTTGTTTGAATGATGCGAGTAAACACAGCTGGCAGCCGCGGTGAAACTCGAGCGACTAGAGCGATAGGAGCGTTTAGAGCGAAGCGAATATTCGCATCGCGTCCGGTCTGAACGCAGCATTAAAGCGAGCTCCGCGCTGCACTGGAAACTCGCCATTACATCACCAGAAGTCCTAATTTAAGGGGTAATTTCCCCTAAAAAAAATTTTTTTACTCACTATATCAAAAGCCCCACCAAAAATATTTTCCACCAGCCGCCACTGGGAGTAGGCAAAAAGATACTGAACAGAGAGAACACAAGGTAAGAATTACAGGAACACAGAGGGTTTAGGGTTTGCTACAAGCTAGAAATACTGAGTCGAATTACCAGCGTGGTGAAACGACGAACTGGTGAATACTGGATGAAGGAGCCGGGTATATATGCAGGTGAAGGTGAGTAGTTGTAATCAGGATGACGAGCAGCAGCTGAGGTGAGTTGGCGGGAATCAGAAGTGGGTCAGCCACGCCAGGAAGACAGACACACAGACAATAACAAACACAAAGGGGAACAGAAGGAGGGAGAACTGCAAATCCTCACACTTTGATTCTCTCTGAACTACCTGGTCTTTTTAATGTTTAATGTCATCCATTTGTGCAGATAGCATGAAGTAGAAAAGATCGGCGATCACCGATGCTAGCGTTAGCATTTCTCCCCTAGGCTTAAATTGTGTATTATAGAATGATCACACCGGTAACAGTACTCTTCAAAGGGTTCACAAAATATGACTACTACTCTTACTGTTTAACATTTTGGGTTACTTAATGATACTTCATTAGGCTAATAAAAATGACAAGGCTGTAATGCTAATGTTAACTGTGATGGTTATTCTCGCATCCAGGAAAGAGAAGCTTAAAAAGGAGACTAAATGGAGTCTGAGATGTTTTCAAATTGGTACTTTAATTAATAAAAAGCGTGGTAAAGTCACAAACAGGATATTGTCCGACAGAAAAGCAGCTGTCTCTGGCCCTCGCTAGCAGAGAAAAGAGGCCGAACCGCTCAGGTGCTGCTGTTATATAGCTTCTGCAGGCTCCTCCCTGGGGGCCGGCTCTCCGACTATTTAATGTCCGTTGTTACACATATCACAGTAGCCTATATAGACATTGTACATTCAATATATATCTAAACACTCCTTTTCTCCTCCTTAACTCTTTCATGACTTTCCATTCAACACATTCCAAACGCTGTAATCAACACTCCAAAAAATACAGGAAATCCTTCACAGCAATTCGATTTCCGGTCGCTCCGAATGTTGTGACATGCTACCCACATCTGTAAACGATAACGTACTCAAATAAACTGTACCTTCATTTAATATCCAACAATAATAATATCTCGACGTCTGTAGTTGTAGTGTTGAAATCAGTAGGTTTCGGTGTGCAACATCATATCATATCGCTGCTAAATTCACCTCTATAGGAAATGGTATATTAGCCTCATGCTAAATGCTAACCGGAGGTGAAGGATTTTCAGAATAAAAGTCTAACTGGTTGTGCACAAGAACTTCTGGTTTTTCAGTATAAAACAGCATTTAAACTAAAGGTACATTTAAGGTACATTATGCCATCAAAACATTGATTTTAATTTCTAACACTAACTAACGTGCTAGCTACTAGCTAGGTAGCTAACTTGATCCAGCCACTCCTGGTCCTTTCAGCAGACGGGAAGCGAAAGAACGAGCAAGACCAATTGCTGGTATGATAACAACCTGGTACTAAGCACACAGGCATCTTGGTAAATTTATCTTATCTTGGCCAGCGCCATATAGATAGATAAGATGGACTTTTATTAATCCCTTGTGGGGAAATTGTTTCTCTGCATTTGACCCATCCTAGTGTTAGGAGCAGTGTGTTGCCATTTTGAACGGCACCCGGGGAGCAGTGTGGGGAACGGTGCCTTGCTCAGGGACACCTCGGTAGCACTTGGTCTTGAACTGGTGACCTTCCAGTTGTCAAGCCAAGTCCCTATTGACTTCGCCACCACCGCCCCAGATTATATCTATATGGCGCTTATTTTAGCTATTTCTTAGTGGAGGAAAACAATTGTGACATCACTTACGCAACTCTGGGATTTGTAGTCTTTCTAGTTGCGTATTTTTCATAGACTTATATTTCAACAGTTTTACAACAAACTGACTTTTTTGACATGGAAATTATTTTTTAAGATTGACAAACATCATATGTGTAATTTGTGGCACAATTCAAACGGGATCGAAAGATACGTTTTCTCTCATTGACTTCAATACATTCTTTTTCCGAAATAAGGTCCCATGGACCGGAAGTAGATAAATAGATAACTACGGCAGATATGTAATATTTAATGCAGCCGAACCGTGTATTACAATGCCGTTATGTGATGACTTTCAAAGAGAAAAGCAAGCACACTCGGAATAAAGTATTATTTAAAAAAAAATGTTTTCGGGTTTCACATCGCATAAACACCAAATCCCAGCGTGCATTGCGGCTAAACCATCCAATCATCGAGCTGAGGATCTTACCTACGTCTGTTTCCGGTTTTGTTTATGACGGATGTATTTTGTTATACACACACACATTCCTTCACATTTAAATTTAAATTTACATTAAAGTATTTCGTGAGGCCTTCTAACATGTTTTTAAATATAACTACGGTTGTAGTTGAAGAGTTTGTAAATTAACATGAACCGAAGCTGTTGCCTGGCAACGCAATCGCACAACGTCACGTCCGTTAATTCCACATCCACACGCATGGATTAACATCGATTTAATACATTAATGTAGCCTTTGTTTCTGCTAAAAGAGGTGTCGACCAGCTGGGGCAACAATAAAATCGGCGAAATCGAGTGTGTATTAAAAAATAAATCATTATTATATTAATATTGACAATAAATGGTAAATGGTAAATGGACTGTACTTATATAGCGCTTTATCCAGTCTTTACGACTCCTCAAAGCGCTTTACATACTACATGTCATTCACCCATTCACACCCATTCATACAGAGCAGTACCACTTGCTCTAGGAACTAACATTCACACACATTCACACACCGTTGGCCATGCCATCGGGAGCAATTTAGGGTTAAGTATCTTGCCCAAGGATACATCGACATGTTGGCTGCACGGGCTGGGATCAAACCCACAACCTTCTGGTTGAAAGACGAACGCACTCCCTCGCAGCCACAGTCGCCAACAATAACAACCGACCGTCGGGGTAGAGGATTTGCTTGGCATTTCCGGGTATTTCTCCACTGGCTGGGCCATGTTAACAATACCGTGTAACTGTCACGTTTGAAGGGACGAAAAAGTGACATCTTCACGTCTTCCAGCATGGTAAATCGTCACATGTTCACGTCTTGCTGTGATACCGGGTTGTATGTTTCATGTGGAATCTACTTGAGCAGGTCTCCCTTGAAAAAGAGAACAATGATCTCAATGGGATACACCTGAATAAATAAAGGTTTGAAATGAAATGCATAGATGCATTTTAACGAAAGTTTTTATACTTCATTTGTGAGCATTTTACGACTTTATTAAATAAGTGTTGGTAGAGAGATGACAGGAAACTTAAGAGAGGTGAAACACACATCTGTAAACAGGTTGTTTAACAGCTGCTGCGTAATAAATAATAATACAGTGTATTTATATAGCACTTAAGATACAAGAGACTAAGCTCAAAGTGCTCACAAAAACACACTTAACCCTTGTATGGTGTTCGGGTCTGTGGGACCCGTTTTCATTATTTATCTAAAGAAAAATGATATCCTCAATAATTTTTTCAAACATATATCAGAACACATTTTCAATTACCACCAACTGTACACCCCCCCTACACATTTACATTACATGAGGGTGTTCGGGTAAATAAAGCTCCTCCAGTTTGGGTCCTTATCACAACTGATCAAGATGGCCAAAAGATTCTCTGCTCAGAGGGCCTTGCAAATGATTTTGAAAGAGAGAGAACCATTTGATGATGATGTAGAGCAGGGGTATCAAACTCAAATACACAGTGGGCCAAATTAAAAAAATGGGTACTAGTTGAGGGCCGGACTGGTTCAGTGTTTATTGCAAAACTTGAAATGAACTTATTACACATATTAAACCTGGAACTAACAAAGCGTAAATTATTGCCTATAAAAACAACATTAAATAATCAGTTGCATTCATTTCTTATGGCTCTATCTGCAGCTTTTCCAGAGTCATTTCTTATGATTACATTTTCCCACAGGCTTCAACAGCTTCAACAAAACTATTCCCCTCAAAGAACAAACCAAACATGCCCTGGTGTCGCAAGAAAAAAGTGCAGAAGGAAACATAAGCCCCGAGCCTGTTTTTCAGGTCTCAGGCTCGAAAATGACATTCCCAGAACAAATGACCATATCTTCCCTTCTAAAAGGGTTACATTAATAATCTTATTTCTCAAAGCAAGGTTACACTTTTGAGTTGGATGTAGAAGTGTCAGAATCAATATAGATGTTTTTACTTTAAAGTAAATTCAGATTGAACACAGTAAAAAAATGTAAATTATTGTGTCCGTCCAAAAAAAAAAATTACTTATATTGAAAACAACCCTTGGATGATGGGATGGTAGACTAAAAGCTTTAGGAATCCAAACTACAACATATAATAAGTACCCTGTATCCAGATTGATGCAAAACAAGTGAAATGTGACCTTTTTAGAGAGATTTAGCACAAAAAAAAAACTTCTGGGGTCATTTGCGTGGATTTCACCTATCTCTGGACCCCCCCCGGTCGATTTTGCTGATTGACATCTCTTTCTAACCGTCAGAGCCAATAGAATCGAGGGGAACTCCCACATACTCCTTATTTGGTAATGTATGTGTGTGAGACTGCATAGCCAAAACCGGAAACTGCAATAACCAGGAAACAGTTTGTTATTCTCCCTCAATGCAGAGAGACAGACCGACTGAAAAACAGACGATCAGATTCACCTTCAGACCAAACTAACAACTTCCTCTGAGTTCAGCTACAGGAGAGAAAAGTGGAAACTACAACACTGCTGCTTCAACCTGCGGACCCTCCACCCCCTGAAGGTGAGTCTGACTCCAAACAATACTCAAATGGCGCTTTTCCACTGCAGGACCTAGCACGGCTTAGCAGGGTTTAGTTTGGCCTTGGTAGGCCATGCTCGCTTTAAAGGTCCCATGTCATGGCCATTTCTACTGATCATAATTCCATTGTTGAGGTCTACTAGAACAGATTTACATTGTTCAATGTTCCAAACTCACATTGGTTTCTCATTCAGCATCTCTGTATAGTATGTGTATTCACTCTCTGTCCTAAACGGCTTGTTGGAGCTCCTGCCCCCCCCCTCCTCCCTATGAGCCGTGACGTTATCTTCAATGCGACACAACTCACAAAACACCATAACAATGGAGGATATGGAAGCGATCGTTTACTTGGTTCTTGGTATGTGGCTTTTTATCACAGCAAGGAGGTATAGTGTTGTCCTTTTGTATCTTGCTTTATTATAGACAACTCAGGAGACAGCGAGTATGGTTAACTGTGCTTTATTCGCGCTCTGTGCTACATCATATAACATACTGATATAACATTCCGGGTATTCACAACTCCGGACCAAAGAGTATGTCACAACATTACAGGAGGCAAACTTTGTTTCGGAAAAGGCTGCGTATAGCAAGACGAAATACAGAAGAAACTAACAGGAGAGTTTGGGCAATCATACAACATGTATATATGTGTTTGTCGAATGATTTAAAAAACAATGTTATCAGAATTAACTATTTAGTAAATATTTGAATTTCAAGCACCTGTATACTGCCCCATAATAAGAACATTTGAGAAAATAACAGATCATGAAAAGAAAATATTTCTAATAAATTAAGGTCTGTTTTGTTTGTTTAGATCTACTGTTAAAGGTGGGGTAAGTTTGAGAAACCGGCTCGAGATACTCTTTTTGTTATATTCCATGGAATGCTCTTAACATCCAGAAAGCAATGAATATCTGAAGTGCTTTGACAATAAATACATTAAAAAAATCATGTCATCTATGGAAGCCTGTGGAAGCCGTGGCGCTGTAAAAAGCACGACCAATCATCTGAGCCGGCTAAAGTAACTGGATGGCCTACCTGCCTGTCAGCCTTCCATCTGGGCACAAACTCATCTCGTGCCCTCATTGGTCATGTGCGCGTTCGTGTGTGTTGGAGGAGGGGCTCTGTGAGGAAGTGGCAGATTGTTTCTAATTCTAGCGCACTCGAGCTGGTTTCTCCAAAATGACCTACCCCACCTTTAACACAGAGGAAATCACGATAACAATACTTGTTACAAACAAACAGTTTAATCATCAAACAAGTGCAAATAACAAAGCAAACTATAAACATAAATACAACCGTTCCTGCTGGGCCCGGTTCAGCTCCTGCTGGGCCAGATCTGCACTGTGCATCTCCCTCAGGACTGTGAGGTGCTCCTCTCCTTGTTTCCTCTTGCCTGGAAGACTATAAGATAAATTCAGGTGTCATAGCAGCTGCAGCAATAAGAATGAAACACACAGGACAGGTACAGGTCACGTAAGGACATAAGAATAAAATATATAAGTATAAACAGAACAACGGTAAGGATGAACAAAAGACGGTTCTGGCTCTAGATGTTTACAATGATTGTGAAAGTGAATTACATTATGTCCAGCCTGTTGATAATGAATATAAATATATGTATGTACAAATATACAGTCATGAAGTAAATGGATAATTACAAATGAATATAAGTATGAATAATTATGAGACCAGTTTAAAGTGCAAAAATACTTAACAATGTCGATGTCACACAATTTTACTAGCTAAAACATTAATAGTGATTCTTACTACTTTTACTTTTGGTACGTTACTTTACTTGTAACAGAGCATTTCCACACATTGGTATTGCTTATTTTACTTACTGACGATGATCTAAAGTTTAAAAAAAGTCACAATTCCAGTCGTTTTGCCATTTCTTACTTAACTCTAGAAAACTGGACGTAAACAATGGTACATGTGGTGTTAGCAAACAATAGCTCTTGCTAACGCTATCTGTGCTAACCGTAGCTCTTCGGGGCTCCATAAAAGCAGGGGTTGTCGAACATAAATGTAAGGATAAAATGGGCATGTTTGTTAGAAATGAGCTTTACAATAGATAGGGACACAACGCTTTCAAGCAAAGAACAGAGTTAGCAAAAACGTACCATCCTGCAGCCGTTGCCGAGTCCAGGCGTCGTTTCGCGTTGCGACGTCGAGCTCCCGCTGTATTTTTTCATCCGCAACGAGATGGAGTAACGTCTGTACCTCGTCAAATGACCACGCCGTGGTTTTTTTGTTGCTGCCATTTCTTTATGGATTTGTTTAACGGTAGCTTGTCTGTTTTAAAAATGGTGCTTAAGCGACGCTTGGGGACTATCTCGCGCAACAATTTTGACGATTCTGTCTGACCAATCAGCAGTCGGGAGTGTTTACGTCACTAGTTTAGGATATTCAGCTCGTTGTTGGCTCGGTAGGAACCTCGATTTTCGAGGACCAGAAAAAAAGTTAAAAAGTACCCGTGAGCCGGAACTACCCCGAGTGGAAAAGCAAAAAAAGCTAAACTAAACCGTGCTAAGTCGTGCTAGGTCCTGCAGTGGAAAAGCGCCAAAAGTGAATTTCAGTGAAGTCATTAGAGGAGGGGGAGGGGAGCCATGACTGACTGTATACTCCTGTCTGCTGTGTTTCAGCTTCACTCAGAGACAACATGGCTTCCAGGTTAGAGGAAGATCTCTGCTGTCCGGTCTGTCAGGAAGTCTTTAGAGATCCTGTTCTCCTGTCCTGCTGCCACAGCTTCTGTAAAGCCTGTCTGCAGACCTGGTGGGATGGGAAAGAAGTAAAGGAGTGTCCAGTTTGTAAGAGAAAATCTTCAAAGGACTTCGTTCCTTACTTTGCTTTAAAGAACCTGTGTGAGACCTTCTTACTGGAGAGAGATCAGAGATCTCCAGAGGCTCTCTGCAGTCTGCACTCTGAGAAACTCAAACTCTTCTGTCTGGACCATCAGCAGCCAGTGTGTCTCATCTGCAGAGATTCAAAAACACACACCGACCACAGAATCAGACCCATGGATGAAGCTGCTCAGGATCTCAGAGAGGAGCTCCAGAAATCTCTGCAGCCCTTTCAGGAGAAACTGAAGCTCTTTGAAGAAGTTAAAGTGAAGTTTGATCAAACAGCAGAACACATGAAGGTCCAAGCTCAACACACAGAGACGCAGATTAAGGAGCAGTTTAAGAAGCTTCACCAGTTTCTAGAAGAGGAAGAGGAGGCCAGGATGGCTGCACTGAGGGAGGAAGAGGAGCAGAAGAGGAGGATGATGGAGGAGAAGATGGAGGCTGTGAGCAGAGAGATAGCAGCTCTTTCACACACAGTCAGAGCCACAGAGGAGGAGCTGAGAGCTGAAGACGTCTCCTTCCTGCACAGCTACAAGGCTGCAGTGGAGAGGCTGCAGCGCCCCCTGCTGGAGGATCCACAGCTGCCCTCAGGAGCTCTGATAGACCAGGCCAAACACCTGGGCAACCTCAGCTTCAACATCTGGAGCAAGATGAAGGACATGGTGTCCTACTCTCCTCTCATCCTGGACCCAAACACTGCTCATCCATTCCTCTTCCTGTCTGAAGATCTGACCAGTGTGAGACTAGCAGAGGAGGAAGAAGAGGAACTTCCTGATAATCCAGAGAGGTTTGATGAATACCTCTTTGTCCTGGGCTCTGAGGGCTTTAACTCAGGGACTCACAGCTGGGATGTCCAGGTTACAGACAGTACATACTGGTTACTTGGTGTGTCAGCAGAGTCTCTCCAGAGGAAGGGAAGCATAAAGTCTGGATTATGGAGAATAGCTTTCTCTAAAGGTGAATACTCAGCACGGTCACTACCAGTTCCAGAAACTCCTCTCAGTCTGAAGAAGGAGCTCCAGAGGGTCAGAGTGAATCTGGACTGGAACAGAGGAAAGTTGTCGTTCTCTGATCCTGACACAAACACACACATACACACCTTCACACACACTTTCACTGAGAAGATGTTTCCATACATCATCACTGTGGAGGAAGTGAAGATATTACCGCTGAAGGTGTGTGTGACAGTGGATCAGAGCAGGTAGAGATAAACATCTCTTAAAGGGATCGTTCACTGACCTCTGAACCTGTCCTCCTGCTGGCTCTTTATTCTAAACATGTTTTTATTCTTGTTGTTATTGAGTTTGATAATCTGCTTTTTGATCATACTGTCAACCTTTATTAAATTGAAACACGTGCATTTAGCTGACACTTTAATCCAAGTAACATCATGTTCATCAAATATGCTGATCTGCTTCCTTTAGAGGAAATAAGAGATATATATTCTTTCCATTTGAAATGATCTCACCCAGATTCAGATCTTTATGTCAGGTTATAGTTCAACCTTCTCTGTTTTATTGATTCTATGTCGTTATAAATTGTTAATCTGTTATTTGTGCATGATGGGAAAATAAATAATATGTTTAATCCAACTGTGAGTTTGAGCAGCGAATCATTTATCAGATCCAAAATCAAATGCATTTTTATTACATGCAATTTTAAACTTGTATAATCAGATAAAACATAGAGAGTTACTGGGTTTAAATGAACTCCCTGACAGACCTCTTCGTCAGGGAAGAAAATAAATGTTTTAAAGAGATTTCCAAGTATTTAAATACAGAGTAAATGTTAAACCCAGTTTTCCCAGGAGAAGCCTAAACAGAGAGGACGACCCATTGCTGTTCAGCGTGGATTATCAAATGCACACGTTTATTAACTCTAAAGGATTTAATCTCAATCTAAAATACTGATTTCTTGGCAGCGGTGTGTTATCGAGAATTAACAACCTCTTAAACTTCTAATTTGACCAATCAGAGTTGAGTATTCAGCTAAGACGTTTAATACAATATAATAATATATAGTAAAGTAAAATATATAATGGAGAAGATAAAGTAATGTGTGCACTACTTCAATATATAAAAACATGTATGTTACAATAGAGTTATTCATTAATATTAATAATGATGTCACTCAGATTATTAAAGCAGCAACAATCACATTTAATGAGAAAAGAGCAAACAGATGTTACAATGCTGTCAAATAATAAACAAACTAACATTTCTGATTAAATCAGTTTCACAAGAACAGAGGTTTCTTCAGACTGAAAACAAGTTGCTTCTTTTCCTCATTGTATTCATGTTTATTTCCTCACTGACATGACGCGTCTCAGAATAACAAGTAGGAATAGTAGAGTCTGTAGAAACTTGGCTTGGTCGTGATTGGTCTAAAACACAGAGAGTTGTCAAACACCATCAGAATGCTACAGCTCATTCAGAATGCTGCAGCCAGACTGGTCTTCAACCTCCTGCTGTCCTCCCACTACTCCTCTCCTCCTCTCCTCCTCTCCTCCACTCCTCCTCTCCTCCACTCCTCCTCTCCTCCACTCCTCCTCTCCTCCTCTCCTCATCTCCTCCTCTCCTCCTCTCCTCCACTGCTGACAGCCAGAGGTGGGAAGTAGTGGAGTACAAATACTTCGATTCTGTACTTAACTTGTTTTTTCTGGTATCAGTACTTTACTCCACTTTACTCAGGTTATAGTTCAACCTTCTCTGTTTTATTGATTCTATGTTGTTATAAATTGTTAATTTGTTATTTGTGCATGATGGGAAAATAAATAATATGTTTAATTCAACTGCGAGTTTGAGCAGCGAATCATTTATCAGATCCAAAATTAAATGCATTTTTTTTTTGGGGCTGTCAAGTTAATGCGTTAACGCAAAAAACGCGATTAATGTTACGCTCTCCGAGAGCTTACCGGTGTGAACCCACAATTCTGAACACTATTGAGAGGAGACTGAAGTTTAAGAAACAAAAGGCTTTATTTCCAAAACCGGTGATGCTGAACAGCTGAGGGAATTGATATTCACAATGTCCAGGGTCAGGGAGTATCTCCGGAGTTGGAGCGGAGGTCCGAAGCCGGGGATCCAGTTTGCAAGTGCGAGCAGGCTGGAGCAGGTGTGCGGAGATGCACGGAGGAACACAGACGAGGGGTTGGTGGCTGGACGTGGCAGGCAGAGGAGTAGGCAGACAGATACTGAACAGAGAGAACACAAGGTGAGGATTTACTTATTCTTCTGACAACTTTTTACTTTGACTTCTTACATGTTGAACCCAAATACCTGTACTTTCTACTTCTTACATGTTGAACCCAAATACCTGTACTTTCTACTTCTTACATGTTGAACCCAAATACCTGTACTTTCTACTTCTTACATGTTGAACTCAAATACCTGTACTTTCTACTTCTTACATGTTGAACTCAAATACCTGTACTTTCTACTTCTTACATGTTGAACCCAAATACCTGTACTTTCTACTTCTTACAGGTTGAACCCAAATACCTGTACTTTCTACTTCTTACATGTTGAACCCAAATACCTGTACTTTCTACTTCTTACATGTTGAACCCAAATACCTGTACTTTCTACTTCTTACATGTTGAACCCAAATACCTGTACTTTCTACTTCTTACATGTTGAACACAAATACCTGTTGTTACGTGCCAGGCAGGCTGTACTGGTGTGGTTTTCCTTCCCTCCTGTGTTTCTCTCTTCTCCCTGTCTTCTGCACAGCTAATCAGCAGCTGATCGGTATCTGCCTGTGCACCTGAGTCTGATGGCTGATTGGATCCTCTCACCCTCAGCTGGCCTATCAGCAGCCAGGGCCGACCATAAAGGAGGCACCCAGGAAGTCTTCTCGCTCTCTCACTCTGGGCCTGTTGCTGATGAAGGAGCCTGCAGTGTTTAGCCACTAAATTTCTTTGTATTGTCTGACCTTATTGAAAGTGTGTTGAGAGGTGGAGGAGTTAGGTAAGTCTGGGGTACCCTGTACATTTCTCACCACGTAGCTAACTAATGTTTAGACACACTAGGTTAGCGGATTGTTGCCACCCCTGTATATTGTTTTGTCAAAGTCTTTGTAGTTTAGTTAGTGAGGGTTTTTGTTTGAGTTTTGGTTTCAAAGGATAGATGTAGAGATAGGCCTGGTTTTGTTATGCTTGTTTCTTTTGTTTGGCGCAATCCTTTGACTCCTCCTCCTCCTCACCAACTAAGGTTTCAGTTACATGTCTGTTCGGTTCTGGGTTAAGAAAATAAACCTTTTGTAAACTGTTACGCTGACTCCCTCATTAATTATTGGTTGTATGTTATTGTCTCCAGGTCCCCTAGACCTTAGTGGGGACGTAACAAGTGGGGGATCGTCCGGGATCTCTATTTTCCTGAGCTAAAAACAACCAATAATTGAGAAGTCATTGTAGGTGTTGTACATAGGCTGAAAAATGGGGTTTGACTTACAGGACTTTATTGAAAGTCCAAGTGTTGATACGTTGTATTCCTGTCGCAAAGATGACATGTTATGTATTGCAGCTCACTTTAACATTTCAGTAGACAAGTATAAAGTAAAAAAAGAGATAAGAGAGAAAATCCTGCAAAAACTAGAGGAGTTAAAGATTCTTGTAATCCCAAGCATGTCAACTCAGCCTAGGGCTGAAGATGATAGGGAAGGTGTATTAGCTACACCTAGAGTTGACAAGTTTAGTCCTGAAGCTCCTCCTGCAACGCTTCCTAGGTTAGAGGCTTTCTCTCCGGGTAGTTTAGGTGCAAGTAGTAATGCCAAACTAAAAGTTCGTCTTGCCCGTCTTCAGCTGGAGGTCCAGGAGAAGGAAATGGTGCGTAGAGCAGACTATGATTACAAACTGCAGATTCGCAAGTTAGAGATAGAAGCTGAGAAAGAAATCACGTTAAAGCGGCTTGAAGTTGATGCCCTGAGAATCTCTTCAGAGCAGACATTTGAGAGGTCAATACCTATACAAAAAGTTTTGATGTTAGTAAAAATATTGCTTTAGTGCCAACTTTTAGAGAGTCAGAGGTTGACTCATATTTTTGTGCTTTTGAGAGAATTGCTACCGCACTAGTCTGGCCTAAAGACATGTGGCCAATCCTACTTCAGTGCAAATTAGTAGGTAAGGCTCAGGAAGTGGTATCTTCACTTTCTTTGGAAGAAAGCTTGCAGTACGAAGTGCTTAAGGAGTCGATCTTGCGTGCTTATGAGCTTGTGCCGGAGGCCTACAGACAAAAGTTCAGACACCATAAAAAGTCTGCTACGCAGACATTTGTTGAGTTTGCGCGAGAGAAGGGCATTCTCTTTGATAAATGGTGTGCGGCTAATGAAGTGAAGGATCATTTTGAGAGTCTTCGTCAGTTACTTCTCTTGGAAGATTTTAAGAATTCTTTGCCTGAAAGAATGGTGATATTCTTAAATGAACAAAAGGTCACTTCACTGGCTAAAGCAGCTGTTTTAGCAGATGAATTTATGCTCACTCACAAGACTGTGTTTTCTTCACCCTTGCGCCCAGATAGAGCTTCAATATCACAAACCGGAAGACCTGATCTTGGCCCAACAACTTTTGAAAGGTCAAGAGGACCACCATCACCTCCACGGGGGCCCCGTGAGTGTAGCTACTGCCATAAAACAGGACACCTTATTTCAGGGTGTCATTTCTTAAAGCGTAAGCAACAAGTTTCGCAACGCTTTCGGACGCCAAAAGGAATGGGACTCATTAAAGGAGTTTCCCTATCAGACATAGAAATGTCCCAGGAAGATGATGTACCTGATCCCTGTTTCAAACCCTTTATTTCCAAGGGCTTTGTTTCTTTAACAGGGGATCCTAAAGACCAGCTGCCAGTACAGGTACTTAGGGACACAGGAGGTTCTCAGTCCATAATTAGAGAAGGCATCTTACCTTTAACCTCCAAATCATCATGTGGATCAAGTGCTGTTGTTCAAGGGGTAGGCATGACACTAAGTGCGGCTCCTTTGCACAATGTTTATATTCACTCATCTCTTGTCAAAGGATTCTTTAAAGTTGCTGTCCTCCCTGCCTTACCCATCAAAGGTGTTGATTTCATCCTCAGTAATGACTTGGCTGGGGGCAAAGTTAAGCCAGTACCTGAGGTCATTGATTCTCTGGATCTAAGTTTAGACGCTGAGAAATCAGCTGAAGTATCTCCCGAAATCTTTCCTGCTTGTGTTGTTACAAGGGCCCAGTCAAAGAAATATGGAGAGGATTTGTCTGATTCTTTTCTTGCTACAGGGCAGTTTCTTGAGGACGTGACTGAGTCGGACCGACTGCCAGAGGAGGCCCGGTCTGCTGGTGCTGGATCACCCAGTAACAGCTCAGAGCTTGTACAACTGCCTGCCACTCGGGAAGAATTCATGGCAGCCCAATTAAGTGATGAAACACTTTCTAAATGTCTCTCTTCTGTTATCAGTCAGGAAGAGGCCAAGTCAAAGAAGATGGCATACATTATGGAAGATGACCTATTAATGCGTCGCTGGATTAGTGATGCCTGTGAGGAGTTGGACTCCTTGGCAATTTATCAGGTTGTTGTGCCAACAGCCTATCGTTCTCAGGTGATGTCCTTGGCTCATGATCATCCGTGGTCGGGTCACATGGGGGTAACAAAAACGTATGAAAGAGTTTTAAAACACTTCTTTTGGCCAGGACTTAAGTCTGATGTAGTTCTTTATTGTCGAACATGTCATGTGTGCCAAGTTGTTGGTAAACCGAATCAGGTGATTCACCCTGCTCCTCTCATTCCTATTCCAGTAATGGGAGAGCCATTTGAAAGGGTGATTGTGGATTGTGTGGGACCCTTGCCTAAAACTAAAACTGGAAACCAGTTTCTCTTAACTGTCATGTGTGCTTCCACTAGGTTCCCAGAAGCCATCCCACTACGGAAAATCACTGCTCCGGTCATCACCAAGGCACTTCTGAAGTTTTTCTCCATGTTTGGTCTACCGAAGGTAGTTCAAACAGACCAAGGTACCAACTTCATGTCTAAAGTGTTTGCCCGGGTACTTGACACCTTAGGTATCAAGCATGTGACATCCAGCCCATATCATCCTGAAAGTCAGGGGGCATTAGAGAGGTTTCACCAGACTATGAAAAGCATGTTAAGAAAACATTGCCACGAGTCTCATAAAGATTGGGATGACGGTGTTCCTTTGGTGTTATTTGCTGCCCGTGAAGCTGTTCAGGAGTCTCTAGGTTTTAGTCCTGCTGAGCTAGTGTTTGGACATGAGGTCAGAGGTCCTTTAAGAGTTCTTAAAGAGCATTTGATCATGCCAACGAAAAAAGTTTGTAGTATCCCGGAGTATGTCGCCAAACTTAAGGATCGTCTACATCGTGCTTGCTCCTTGGCTAGGGAAGCTCTGACTTCTACCCAGGGGAACATGAAAAAACGCTACGACCAAAAGGCGGTAGCGCGCTTGTTTCAGCCAGGTGACAAGGTGTTGGTTCTATTGCCTGTACCTGGGTCTGCTCTGTCTACTAAATTTGCTGGTCCTTATGTTGTAGATAAGAAGCTCGGTGAAACAAACTACGTCATTCAAACACCTGACCGCAGACGTCCTACCAGAGTGTGTCATATCAACATGCTAAAGAAGTACTGCACCAGGGAAGACCAAAGTGAGTCTCCAAAAGCTCACCAGGTGGAGACAACAGTCTCTCCTATGGCTTCAGTTTCAAAAGTGAGCTCGGATGAGGATGAGTTGGTGATGCGCAGTGCAACCTCCACAGGGGGGCCAGACTAAGCAATACTGAGGTATTGGCTGATTTGCCCAATTACTTGTCTCACCTTCCTTATATCCAAGGAAGTGAGATACGGAAACTGATATTTGACTTTGCATGTCTTTTTAATGACACTCCCTCACAAACTTCTGTCCTAGCTCATGATGTGGTTTTGACCAACCCCTCGCCCCTCAAACAGCGTGCGTACAGGGTTAACCCAGTTAAGAGAGAGGTTATGAAAAGGGAAGTTGAGTATCTACTTAAAAACGGATTTGCAAGGCCTAGTTCCAGTCCCTGGAGTTCCCCTTGTGTGCTAGAGACAAAGTCAGATGGAAGTCCCAGATTCTGCACTGACTTTCGCAAAGTTAATGCTGTCACTGTCCCCGATGCACACCCATTACCGCTCATTGATGACTGTATCGATGAAATTGGTCCTGCACAATTTGTCAGTAAGCTGGACATGTTAAAGGGATACTGGCAAGTTCCTTTAACACAGCGTGCTTCTGACATCTCGGCCTTTGTGACACCTGACAGTTTCCTTCAGTATACTGTGATGCCTTTCGGTATGTGTAATAGACCTGCCACTTTTCAGAGGCTTGTAAATCTTGTATTAGGACATGTTCCAAACTGTAAGGCATATCTGGACGACATTGTTGTCTATTCTAATGACTGGTCTAGCCACATGTCTACCTTAAGAGAAGTTTTTAAATGCTTGTCGGCCGCTTCCCTAACGCTTAACCTTGCCAAATGTGAGTTTGGAAAAGGTACCGTTCTCTACCATGGTCAGCAGGTTGGTCGAGGGCAGGTGTGCCCTGCTGATGCAAAAATCAGGGCAATTGCCTCCCTCCCGGTGCCAACCACCAGGAGGGAACTTCGCCGCTTCCTAGGAATGGCAGGGTACTATCGCCGTTTCTGCAGAAACTTCTCATCGGTGGCGGACCCACTCACTACGTTGACCAGTCCCTCAAAGCCTTTCGTTTGGTCCGGTGAGTGTCAACAGTCATTTGAGAGCCTAAAAGGTATTCTGTGTTGTACTCCTGTTCTTTCTGCACCAGACTTTTCGAAGCCATTCAAGCTCGAGGTCGATGCCAGTGGAGTTGGGACAGGGGCTGTTCTTCTACAAGAAGATGCACAGGCTATCGATCACCCCGTGAGCTACTTCTCCCGAAAGTTCAACAAACATCAGTTGAAGTACTCTACTATTGAAAAAGAAGCTTTAGCTCTATTGTTTGCCTTGCAGCACTTTGAGGTGTATCTTGGCTCCAGTGTAAAACCTATTAAGGTATACACTGATCACAATCCGCTGGTTTTTCTTTCAAGGATGTACAACCACAATCAACGCCTTATGCGTTGGTCATTGATTGTCCAGAACTACAACCTTGACATAAGCCATAAAAAGGGCTCCGATAATGTTCTTGCCGATGCACTATCTCGTGCTATGTAAATAGAAAATGTTCATTGTAAGGTCCAAACATACTGTTTGGATTTATATGTGTGGGGGTGTTACGTGCCAGGCAGGCTGTACTGGTGTGGTTTTCCTTCCCTCCTGTGTTTCTCTCTTCTCCCTGTCTTCTGCACAGCTAATCAGCAGCTGATCGGTATCTGCCTGTGCACCTGAGTCTGATGGCTGATTGGATCCTCTCACCCTCAGCTGGCCTATCAGCAGCCAGGGCCGACCATAAAGGAGGCACCCAGGAAGTCTTCTCGCTCTCTCACTCTGGGCCTGTTGCTGATGAAGGAGCCTGCAGTGTTTAGCCACTAAATTTCTTTGTATTGTCTGACCTTATTGAAAGTGTGTTGAGAGGTGGAGGAGTTAGGTAAGTCTGGGGTACCCTGTACATTTCTCACCACGTAGCTAACTAATGTTTAGACACACTAGGTTAGCGGATTGTTGCCACCCCTGTATATTGTTTTGTCAAAGTCTTTGTAGTTTAGTTAGTGAGGGTTTTTGTTTGAGTTTTGGTTTCAAAGGATAGATGTAGAGATAGGCCTGGTTTTGTTATGCTTGTTTCTTTTGTTTGGCGCAATCCTTTGACTCCTCCTCCTCCTCACCAACTAAGGTTTCAGTTACATGTCTGTTCGGTTCTGGGTTAAGAAAATAAACCTTTTGTAAACTGTTACGCTGACTCCCTCATTAATTATTGGTTGTATGTTATTGTCTCCAGGTCCCCTAGACCTTAGTGGGGACGTAACACCTGTACTTTCTACTTCTTACATGTTGAACCCAAATACCTGTACTTTCTACTTCTTACATGTTGAACACAAATACCTGTACTTTCTACTTCTCACATGTTGAACACAAATACCTGTACTTTCTACTTCTCTCATTTTCCAAACAGCTGGTTCCTTTAGTCTGAATGTGTGTTTGGTGGCGTGATCATTATTCTTTAGAGTCATTGCGTGCCTATTGATTTGAACACGATCCGTGTATCCATCATTTCCTGGTCTTCTCTAAAGAAGAGGGACCAATGGAAACGTTGTCATGTTGCCGTTGTTCAGCATGGAAACATTCATTAGCTAACAATGACATTATTGTTCTATTAATATAAAGGGAGGTCAGGTACTCTTTAAAGCAGCTGCTAGTTATGGGTACTTTTTACTGAAGTACATTTCAAAGCCTCTTTACTTTTACTTGAGTAAAGAAGTTTAGTCAGTACTTCTACGAGAGTATTTTTAAACACAAGTATCTGTACTTCTGCTTGAGTAAAGGCTGTGTTTCCTTTTGCCATCTCTGCTGCCAGTTAATGCAATAATCCAATTCAAGACACTGGTGCTGGCCTTGGTTAAACTCCAGCTCGTGCACTTCACTCGGCATCAGCCAATCAGATTGCTGCTCCCACAGTGAGTGGGACCCAGGTAACTCCCAAAAACACACTATCCTGGCTCCGAAATCAGAATCAGAATCAGTTTTATTACCAGGTAGGTTGATACGTACGAGGAATTTGACTTGGTGTCGTGGTGCATACATAAAAACCAAAAATAAAAAAACACAACTATTTTATGAAAAATATAATAACATTAAAAATAACACAAAAATATAGTAAAATTAAAAAAACAGTATTTACATTGAAATAAAAAATGTGCAGTAACAATAAAAGACCAGATATTGTGTCCATTGTGTGCATTAATGTGATGCAGAGAGTCTGCGTTGTGGCTGAGGGAAAGTGTCAGTGCATGAATGTTGGAACGAGCTCCTCATTGACATCAGGAAAGCAGAAACTCTTCATTTCTTCCCTCACAAACTAAAAACGGTTTCCATTGTATCTTGGCAATTCAATTATTGCATAAAAAAAGCACTTAAAAAAGTTATTTTAGGCCTGGGGTGTCAAACTCAATTTCTGAACCTGATTCTGAGTCTGATTGACAATGTCATCATCCTAACATTTAGATAACAGGATTGTTTTCTTTACATCTAAAGTAAATGACATTCAATCATAGATCAATAAGAGATGAAAATAAAGCAATGTTTCAGAAACTTAACATAATATGCGAATTATCTTGTTGTCTCATAAACAATGGGATCTTTAGAAAACGAATTAAACAAAAACGCCTTCACTGGATAAACGAACAAACTGATCTCTTACATTATTAAAAGAACAATACGTAAAATAAGCAAACACTTAACTAATGTAAAAAGGTGTAGCGCTGCGGCTAAAATCTCATTAAAGAACTATTTAATAAAATAAGTGTTAAATATCTTCATTTACCTCTGTTGTTCCTGCTGTGCTGAGCTGCTTCTCACGAAGGAAAAGAGAAGTGGATCAGATAACACACTAACGTAAGGACACACACGTACACACATACCATGTATACATCACTTCAGGGGACATTACATTGACTTACATGCATTTCCTGGAGACTTATCCTAACCATAACCAACACATGCCTAACCCTTAACCTTAACCTTACCCTAAACCTAACCAAGTCTTCACCCTAAAATTAATGATTCCCCTTATGGGGACCTCCAATTTGTCCACATAAGGGCGGCGAGTCCCCACACGTGACTGTGTAAACAGATTTAGGTCCCCACAAGTATAGTAATGCTAGGCCACAGTTTACAGTACACACACAAACAAACACACACACACACACGGAGGGGTCTCTGTGCTCCCACGGACGCAGAGAAATCATACACCTCGTCGCTAATACATTTCCAACAACCATTATTTTAATCACAAATAATGCATGTGTCAATGCAATGAGTATTATTTACGCTAACCAGGTAAATCGGCTAAAAGAAAAACATGTTTTCCAAAATAACTACGCATCGTATTCTCTCTTGAATGACAATATGCCTGCACTTCACCTCCAAGGTGCGCAATATATTATTGCCTGTGAGCGCCCTGCGCGAGCCAAGATGATGAGTTGATGAGATGTGGTGTGCGCAGGGCCGGCCCTGACCAATTTGCCGCCCTAGGCGAGATTTTAGATGGCGCCCCCCCCCCCCCAAAAAAAATTAAAAATTCCAATGTTAATAAAATCACACAGAAGCTGTATACGTTTTTGGGGATATTTTTTTATTTTAACACAAATACAACATTAAAACCTATAATTGCAGTCAGCAGCCTTGCCAACACACCAGTGCTTTCTAAAGGCCTATTCACACATGGCCCCTCCACTTGCTCCCTGCTGAGGTCAGACAGGGCAACAAGTTGCTCCTCTGCTGACAGGCACACAATCCACCTGTACTGATATACAGTCCGTGAGAGACTAATTGCCTCACCTTAAGAGCTGGATGTGTAAGAAGTACAACCCAGAAACATTTACTAATTTAAAACAAAAGCTGCTTTGCTGAACACTTAAACATACTACTTCTGGGTACCGAAATATTTGCTATCAATCACTTCAGTCTTGGTTAAAAGCTAGATTTAGCCAAAATCCAACCATTAAAATACTACAGGCCTCAATCTCACACCTCAACACCTTACCTTAGCCTGACTCTCCTTGCCTTTCTTGAAGCAAAATGATCTATGACATCATCATAAGACAGCTGTTTTGAGACCACATGGTTGATGCTTATGATGGATAGTCCACTGAGACGTTCTTGTCCCATAGAAGCTCTTAGGTAAGTTTTGACCAGTTTGAGCTTTGAGAAGCTTCTTTCAGCAGCAGCCACTGTAACAGGAAGAGTGGCAGAGATTCTCAGAGCAACCTACAAATTGGGGTACATTTCTGTCAGCTTCTTCTCATGAAGGAAGGTCAATAGTTCCATGTTTGTCATCTTCTTTGATGGCAAATGTGGAACATTTTTGCATTTCTGCAGCAAGTTCCCTGCCATCAATATCTGGTTGTCCATCATGGGTCAGAGCAGAGCTCAGGGTTTGACAGTGCTTTGGCAGTTCTTCGTTTGATGTGGTGGGAAAGTTGATGAGCACTCCAAACTTGTCATTTACCTCTTCAAGGTGCTGAAATCTCTCATCAAGTGAAGAGAGGGCTGTATCCACAACCACATTAAAAAATGTGATTTCCATTTTTTTAAGTGCATCATCAATAGGCTCATCTGGAGACTCATAACCAAACTGCCGTTTTGTGGATCTCAACCGCTTTTGCTTGAGAACAGACTCCACGTTCATCTCCTCACACATCTCCTTTGCAGTTGTCTGTGCATCAGAAAATCCAGTCCTTCTGTAGCAGGTGAGGGAATCTCCTGTTTTCTTCAGCAGGTCGACAGCCACATCTAACTACATGGAGGGTGACTGCATCAGTTTGCTCACATGCTGGATCTTGTAGAGGATGTCATACCATATGGTTGTGCAAATGATAAAACGGTAAGATCCAATCTCCTCAGCCAAAGACTGGGCTTCAACTCTCACCACAGGGTCTGCAGTTGTTTCCCTCACCTCCAGAAGAGCCTCTCTGATTTGCCCAGCCTGGTACATTACTGCCTCAACGCTTTTTATCCTGCTTTCCCATCTGGTCTCTGACCACGATTTCAGGGTTGTTTTGACATGTTTCAGCAGGATGTCCCATCTATGCGTGGAGGCAGAGAAGAGTTTGTACAACTTTGTTAAATAGCCAAAGTAGCCTATAGCATCTGGTGAGCTCTTTGCAGCATCAGCTACCACCAGATTTAAGGTGTGAGCACCACAAGGGACAAAAAAAGCTCTTGGGTTCTGCTGAAGCAACCTAGCCTGAACACCTTTATTCTTACCCTTCATGTTGGCACCGTTGTCATACGACTGTCCTCTGCAGTCCTCAAAGGGGATGTTAAGTTCCTCCAGCCTTTTGAGAATGAGCAATGTCAAACTTTCCCCTGTTGACTGCTCTGCCACAAGAAAGCCCAGGAAATGTTCTTTAACCTGTGGTTTGTCTTCTAGCGATACTATCCTGACAATAACAGAGAGTTGTTCTTTATGACTCAGATCAGGAGTGCAATCCAAAATGATGGAGAAATACTTACACGTTTTTATCTCTTCCACAATTGTGTCCAGTATTTTAGAGCTGATTGAGTCAATCAGTTCATTTTGAATTCTTTTGCCCATATAATGTGTGTGACTGCCAGCTCCACTTGCCACCCTACCAACATGCTACTTTATGACTGGATCGAATTTGGCCATAAGCTCCACTTCTTTTAAAAAGTTGCCATTGTCTGGTTGGTTTAATGTGTCTGTGGACCCCCTCAGAGCCAGGTTTCTCTCTGCTAAGGACTGAATTATTGCCACGAATCGGGTGAGAACGTCGTGCCACCTATTTCTCTCAGCCTGAGCAAGGGCCATCTCTTGCATATCTATTGTAAGCCCCCTGGCAAGACGGACGTCTAACTCCTTCCATGTTGCCATGTTTGTGTTGTGCTCCTTGCTTTCTTCATGTACCTTGAGCAAGTGACTTGCATTTTTCCAGTCCTTTAGTCCTTCCCTATTGAGTATGTAATTTCTCTGTGAAAACATTGTGCAGCAGAAGCAGTGCAAGCTATCATTCTTTTTTGAATACATCAACCAGCTTCTTTTGATTTTTTCTCCGTTGATTAAGACTCTGTTAAAATAGTCTTGCTGACACCTTCTCCCGTCTTTTTGTTTGGGAAAGATAAAACTAGATTTCATTTGATATGGTCCACTCTGAACAAACTCTGTCCTGTCATTATCAGTAAGAACAGATGGCCAGTCGGCAGGGTCTATTGGTGAAGCCTTTATCCCTGATGCTGTATAACTTGGCTCTGCTGAGGTGGAGGGGACAGGAGCGCTTGATGCTGTATCACTGGGCTCTGCTGAGGTGGAGGAGACAGGAGCGCTTGATGCTGTATCACTGGGCTCTGCTGAGGTGGAGGGGACAGGAGCGCTTGATGCTGTATCACTGGGCTCTGCTGAGGTGGAAGGGACAGGAGCGCTTGATGCTGTATCACTGGGCTCTGCTGAGGTGGAGGAGACAGGAGCGCTTGATGCTGTATCACTGGGCTCTGCTGAGGTGGAGGAGACAGGAGCGCTTGATGCTGTATCACTGGGCTCTGCTGAGGTGGAGGGGACAGGAGCGCTTGATGCTGTATCACTGGGCTCTGCTGAGGTGGAAGGGACAGGAGCGCTTGATGCTGTATCACTGGGCTCTGCTGAGGTGGAGGGGACAGGAGCGCTTGATGCTGCAGGGCTGGGCTCTGCTGAGGTGGTATGAGGCCCAACACATTTCAATAGTGCATCTGGAGAGAGAAGAGAAGTATATGTGACCATCAAGAGATGTATTATATTTGCTAGACCAAATTATATTATAGAAATCAGAAAACAGGAGCAGCTCACAAAATAATTAGAATATCATGGAATATATTGCCTCCATGTAGAATTGATGCATTTATCTCTGCAAAAGGAGCCCCGACCAAGTACTGAGTACATATTTGAATACACTTTTCAGAAGATCGAAATATCTGTATTATAAATCCTTATCTAATATTATACTAGATACAGGATTATTGATTTTCATGATCTGTAAGCTGTAATAATCACAATTAAAACAAAAAAGGTTTGAAATATTTCACTTCATGCATAATGAATCTAGAATATATGATTAATTTGTTTTATTAAATTAAAGAAAAACAGTTCTATGATATAGTTATTCTTTTAGATGCACCTGCATATTCTGCGACTTACCAGATGGCAAAGAAGCAGCTACATTAGGGCTGGGCGATATGGCCAAAAAAAGAAATCCCCGATTTGTTCACAAAAAATCCGATTTACGATTTAAATCGATTTTCTCCCCCCCCCCATATGCAGATGACAAAGTAATTGTTCCAATTTTAACCAATGACATATCACTGGAAAGACCAGGATGTCTTCTGTACAGCACATCAGGGATTGATAGAGTAGCTCAAAAGAGTAAAAGGAGATGCATGTTAACAAAATGTCCACTACAGTGGACATTTTCAATGGGCTGGGTCCCAGGAGGATATATTGGCACCATATCCTTTGCTATATACATACCGACCGCATCTGTAATGGCTTTCCAGCGGGCCGAATTCTTGTCATATGGGATTAGTGCTGCGTACCTGGACAGGACTCACATTCAGGTTCAGGTCCGGACTCAAGTCCAGAGGTTCAGGTTCAGGTCCGGACTTATAAGTCCGGACCTGAACCCATGGCTTGTGTCAAGTTGTGTGAGTAACTAAAATGAACTTATTGTGAGCTAATTATCAATTAAAAATGAACTCATAATTAACTCAAATTCAAACTCATCAGGTTTATTGTGCTCCCTTCCAACTTGTGTCTACATTTCTCTACAAAGTACAAATGTAAAAAAAACACTTTTTGCCACTTAGTCTACAAATGACTTATGACAGCAACTACAGTGAACTACTACAAAGTTCAAACATTTATTTCATTTACCAAACTAAAGTAACCAAACAGTCCCTGAGCTGACTGAGCCTAAATCCCTAAAACGTTGCTGAAAGGTAGAGTGTAGAGTAGACTATACGCATTACACTGTTACACACCTACTATACAGTATAGGCTACACTGTAGTGACTGACTGTACAGTCAGAGTGTACTGTACTGTCTGTACACCATGTATTTTCTACAACTCTACATGTGTACATTATACAGTGTATACTACATACATAGTGATGTACATACTTTTAGAAATTAAAATCAATGTTGATATGGCTTAATTTTGAATTAAATACACTATTTAATTTAAATCAGTTTTATTCTGAAAAAAACCGGAAGTTGACACTAACTTAATACTTTTATTCTGAAAATTATTCACTTCCGGTTAGCATTAGCATGTGGTGAAATGCTACGTTTTCAAACCGTGAATCGAAGGTGAAATGACATGTGATGTTGTACACTGAGCACACTGGGATTAGCACTCATTTATTGACGCTGAATAACGTTTATCAGGGAATGTTTAAATAACCACAGACACCAGAATATACGTAAGTGCTAGTTTTTTTTGCGAGTCCAAGTACCGGTTCCCGACGTTCCGGTTTTAACCGGACTTGAACCGAAACTTTTTACAAGTCCAGTACCGGTTCGGCGTACCGGTACGCAGCACTATATGGGATGCAGTTTGAAAATGTCTGTGTTACGGTAGACTGTATTTTGGCGGCTGTGCGCGAGGTGCTTGTAGTGCCGCGGTCTTTTTCATTCCGCTGCGCGGAACATTTCTCCCATTCAGCAGGATGCTTTTGTTTGAGGTGCTGCAGTACATTTGTCGTACTGCTGCCTTTGCTAGCAACAGACTTCAAACATACTTTGCAGCGGGGTGTTGTCTGGTCTGAATCTGACCTCGCGAACGCAAACCAATTCCAAATAACGGATGACACCGTGCCTTTCTTTGGAACAAGTTCTTACCTGCTCGTTGTCATGTTGTTTGTGTAATGTGTATCACTCTATTTGGTAAATGCGCGCACTGTGCGGGGGGAGGGCTGAGGCGAACTACGGGAGCCCAGAGGGAAAAGTTGGCGGATGTTGAAGAGAAAACCGATTTTCATTTTAACAAGTCGACGTGAACTACACACTCGAGTTAATCGATAAAATCGATTTATCGCCCAGCCCTAAGCTACATACATTGTAATATAGCATATTAAAGATAAAGGCTAAGGTATGCAGTATTTACAGTAGTGACAAACATTTTAACACTGATGTAAACGTTACACTATTGATTATTGAACATACTTTAGACAGCATAAACTGTAAGGCAATACAATTAAAGGCCTACAACTATCAATTATTGAGGGGATGTAAAAGGAATAGCATTTTAATGACTATCATTATTAGCCTATTACTACAAGCAGGGCAAACATTGGCTCACCTCAACAGATATAGTAGATCAGGCATCCTCAAACTACGGACTCCGGTCCGGATCCGGACCGAACCACCACTGTCTCCGGACTCTGAGCAAATTATAGTTTTCATATGTATTATCTCTCTGTATTATATGTGAGACATCGCCACAACGCATTCGCAACGAGTCAAAATTCTCCGCTATGTCCACTGCAAACAGCGCTCTGCATGTCTGACTGTTCCACTGTGTTCCACCTGTGTGTGTCAACGCTTTGGTCCAATCACATTCAGCATCCAGTCAGCGTTTTTTCCCCCCAAACAATCTGCGAATCAGAGGCACAGTAGGGCGGGTCTTCGCGGACTGCGGGTGGGAAAAATGTGTGTGTCTCTTTCAACCTGTCTAAGTCAGAGCGAGAATTAAAAAAAAAAAATCAGAGCGAGAGTTAACAGCTCATCTAGTTCCATCTGTACTGTAGCTAGTAGCCTAGTTTCACCTACTGGGGTGGCAACTGACACCCTAAAAATAGGCATTACCACTCCAGTTGGCAGCTTTGTTTTGAAAGAAAAGTTGTGGCTCATCGGACATTTATGAGAGAAAGTCTCTAATGTCCGAGTGCAAGTGAATGCAGCACAAGATGCACGTCATGTAACCCCTCCCCCGGTCCTGGCGCAAGCGTGGACATACGATTGGCGGCCATTTCATTTTGAACTGGACGGCGCAAAACGAGAAGCATTCGGACCCAAGCGCTGAAGGAATGAGGTATTTGCTGTCTACACTGACAGAGAAGAGACTGTCAGTTTGGCTATACTCAGCATTGAATCAAAACGCACTGAAGCTGTTGATCTTAATACGTTTGTGAGGCGTTTTGCTGAACAAAATGGTAATCGCCGCATTCAGCTGTAATAGACATGTCAACTTGATGCTCTGCTCACGGATGAGCATACACAACTATTAAGATGATGACCTTACGAGTGTAAATATATTTTTTTCTTTGAGGGGGTCTGCCCCCAAAAAACTGTTTTAAGTCCTGAGAAAGTCAAATCAGACGGTGTGTAAAACTACACTGCCCAGCCAAAAAAAAAGTAACCACTTTGATTTAACTAGGCCAGTAGGTAAGGACTTTCCACTGGATAATAACTGAAGTATAAAAGAATGCATGACTGAAGTGATGGAGACCATGTTTGAAGGCAAACAAAAAGAGGAAATAACAGGTCAAATCAAGCAAATCCCCTCTCAGATTCCACAGCAACCAGAAGAACATACATACAGGCTGGTGATTTGATTCATCAGCTTTGTGATGGAATAAAAAATGCACAGTGCATTTCCTTAGCTGTGGGTGAGTCCACTGACACCACTGACAATGCTCAGTTGCTGGTGTTTGTGAGTTGTTATGATGAGGCAAAGGGGGAGTTTGTTGAAGATGTGTTGGGCCTGACGAACCTCAGTGGACGCACAAGGGGGAATACATTTATAAAGCAATAATGGGAATGCTGAATGAAAGAGGGTGCAGCTGCCTTTATTCATAACTGTGCAGCTCTTACACTGCAACTCTGAGGGGTCAAGCACAGACACAATAACAATGAAAACTGCTGCATACAGATTATTTTTGTTTTTGCAACCTTGTGTTAAGAATCTTGTTGCAATTGTTTAAAAGTTTGAATGACCGTAATAAACGGACCTTTGTCTTATTGAAACATTTATTTTGGACCTTTAAGATTTGTATTTGAGTACCCCTGTAGTAGATGATATATAGCAGGTGATGTAACTCTTTCCAAATGTCCCTGAATTTAAGGTGGGAGTAACGGTAATAATTGACGTTAACTCTAAATGTAACTATTGACTAGCAAACAAACGACCTTGCTATCGTCTAAAAGTAAGCTAGCAAGTTTAAACTGTTCCATCAACGGTAACTACAATCAATTTTTTGACTTTGTTTAATCATCATCACATTAACGTTACTGTACCTTTGTATTTCTCCCGTTTGTCCTCCTCCTCTTTTCTTTTCTTTCTTCCCTGGGCACCAGATAACTTTGTTCTTTTCGACATGCTAATTACCGTCTTTGTTTTCTTCTCCCGAGTCAAAGCAGGTCAAAGGGGGCGGGTCAAGTGTCAGTCAGTGACACTTGACCCGCCCCCCTCGCTCCTTGAGGACATAAACAGCCTGCGGGGCTGGGGCAGTTCAACTTACCTGAATTAGGGGGGGGGGGGGGGCGCCATAGTGTATGGGCTCTGTGCGCAATATAGACGTAGTTCTGTTAAGATAATAAGATGTACTTTGTTGATCCAAAATCGGGAAATTGTTTTATTTAAAAAAAATTAAAAAATCACAATTACATTTTTTTTTTTTTATAAAATATATATTTCCCCCAATTTTCGGCGCCCCCCTGGCTTGATGCACCCTTAGCATTCGCCTATACTGCCTATGCCAAGGGCCGGCCCTGGGTGTGCGTAGTTGAACCTTTTCATATTTAAGTTTGTAGCAAGTGGAGGGCTGCTGCTGCTGCTGTGTGTGCTTGCACACGTGCGCGCGCACGCGTTAGTTTGAAAGACTCCCATAAAGCTCACATTATAACTCGAACCTTGCCTGTAACCTTAACCCTAACTCTTTGTCTGGGTTAGGGTTAGGGGAGGGACTTCGCCACTCCCACCAGGAAGCCGGGCTCCTCCAGACTGTATGTGTACGTTGGCATGGCAAGGACTTGTGTGAGTGAGGCGTTTTGAAAACCATCATTATAATCTTTAACCACTGTTTCCTATACTTTTCCCCTTTAACCCTTTGTGTGGAATGGTGGAATGCATACTATAGTATATGAGTACTTTATTTGGGGTATTTTAAGTATAATTTTCGTACTAGTTTTACTTGAGTACAATAGGAATGCAGGATTTCTTCAACCTTTGTATATATATTTTTTTAAATGGCCTTTAGTTGAACATTTTCTTTAACTCTGCTGCCACCTGCTGGTATAAGTAGTTCGTGCACCTTACACACAGACAGACACGTGACCAGAAGTCTGCTTTTCATGTGAGCAAGAAAATACCCTTCAAAATAAAGGCACCAACGTCCAGCTGTGAGATTTATTATAAATTAGAACAATTCTTTATTGCTTTTGATCGTGTACAGACTTTTCCCTTGCATTCTTAATGTACTGGTTCTGCTCAAAAAAAGGTTTTAGTTCGTCATTTCTGTAGATCTATATTAACAAGGCTTTTAGTCTGAAGAAGGAAAACTCCGAGTGGAAATGTTTGCTGTTCATGAACACAGCTCAGGTTACATATACCTGGCTGTCACTGACAGAAGGCATTACGCTTCTAAGAAGACGTCGATGGTAAACTAAAGGGGGAGTGTACAGAGGGGGGAGTGTTTGGTCCAGACCTACGGATATTTTTGGACTAGCCTAATGCTAGGACATCAAAGTGGAAACAACTATGGAGGATAACTGGGTTAGTGAGTAGTCGCTAACGGTTCGGAATGGAACTGTGCAGTTTTCAAATGGGACGCGCGAGCCTTCAGGCACGGGGCTATTCTGAATGTCAGTTTGTTTATTTACGCTAAAAGAGGTGGAAAGTGTATTTTTCCATATCAGGTAGGACAGTAATGCTCCACAGAGAGATGCTGGATACACGTCAGCACCTCCTCACACAACGGTACCATTGATACACAGAGCAAGTCAGCAGCAATGGCTGTGAAACCTAGGAGACCGTTGGTGACCGTTATTTTAGGCGTGTTTCTCGGATTCACCGCTTCTACGTGGCTCTTTGTACCTCAAGTTCTGGAGAGTAAAGGAAAGAAATCTCCCGTGTGTTTGTACCATAGTCACAGTGATTCCTCAGCCGGGAAAGGTCCCTTCATCCCTGGGGAAAGCCCACAGCTCAGCCCGGAGGAGGACAGGACATCCAGTCCGGGCAACAGCACCGGGGGGAGAACCACAGGCAGGCCGAAACGGTTCCTTTATGTCGGCGTCATGACAGCCAAGAAGTATCTGGATACCCGAACCGTGGCTGCCTACCAGACCTGGGTGAGCTCCATCCCAGGGAAAGTTGAGTTTTTCTCCAGCGAGGGATCCGGGTCCATCCACTTACCTGTCCCAGTGCCCGTGGTCTCGCTGGCAGGTGTGGACGACTCGTACCCTCCACAGAAGAAGTCATTCATGATGCTGAAATACATCCACGACCACTACCTGGATAAATATGAGTGGTTCATGCGGGCAGATGATGACGTTTACATAAGAGGTGAATATTCTGGGAGTGAATACGTGTGTGTGTGTGTTTTTAAATGCAGGTCTTTAGTCAGAATCAGTCAGACGAAGCCCAGATTCTAATGTTAAGGGCCTCTCAATGTCTGTTTTGCATTATTGTCAGTGTTGTTTATGGCCCTGTGTCAAAAACCTACCACTGTGTCAAAAACCTACTTGATGCTTATTCCAAATGTGTTGCACGCAGTACGCAGGAGCAGTGAGACAGAGACTATGGGTTTGAAACAAACCAACAGGTTAGGCAAACACAGAGCTGTGTTTTAGGAAAGGAAGCTTTTGTGTGGATGATTTATTTACTAAGCCTGGCACAGTTTTGTTCATGATTTGTTCAAAATTCTCTTAGTTTCGTATTTCCTTTTATTAAAGGTCACCTATTATGCAAAATCCACTTCTTCATGTCTCTTCTACATCAACATGTGTCCCCTCTTCTTCATGTCTCTTCTACATCAACATGTGTCCCCTCTTCTTCATGTCTCTTCTACATCACATGTGTCCCCTCTTCTCCATGTCTCTTCTACATCAACATGTGTCCCCTCTTCTTCATGTCTCTTCTACATCAACATGTGTCCCCTCTTCTTCATGTCTCTTCTACATCAACATGTGTCCCCTCTTCTTCATGTCTCTTCTACATCAACATGTGTCCCCTCTTCTTCATGTCTCTTCTACATCAACATGTGTCCCCTCTTCTTCATGTTTCTTCCACATCAACATGTGTCCCCTCTTCTTCATGTCTCTTCTACATCAACATGTGTCCCCTCTTCTCCATGTCTCTTCTACATCAACATGTGTCCCCTCTTCTTCATGTTTCTTCCACATCAACATGTGTCCCCTCTTCTTCATGTCTCTTCTACATCAACATGTGTCCCCTCTTCTCCGTGTCTCTTCTACATCAACATGTGTCCCCTCTTCTTCATGTCTCTTCTACATCAACATGTGTCCCCCTCTTCTTCATGTCTCTTCTACATCAACATGTGTCCCCTCTTCTTCATGTCTCTTCTACATCAACATGTGTCCCCTCTTCTTCATGTCTCTTCTACATCAACATGTGTCCCCTCTTCTTCATGTCTCTTCTACATCAACATGTGTCCCCTCTTATTCATGTCTCTTCTACATCAACATGTGTCCCCTCTTCTTCATGTCTCTTCTACATCAACATGTGTCCCCTCTTCTCCATGTCTCTTCTACATCAACATGTGTCCCCTCTTCTTCATGTCTCTTCTACATCAACATGTGTCCCCTCTTCTTCATGTCTCTTCTACATCAACATGTGTCCCCTCTTCTTCATGTCTCTTCTACATCAACATGTGTCCCCTCTTCTTCATGTCTCTTCTACATCAACATGTGTCCCCTCTGTGGAAAGAGACTCTGAAAGTTTCAGGAACAAAGATTCTCTCTCTTTTTGATCCATTTCTATAAAAACCTGTCTGAAAATGAGCTGATCAGATTTTGGCCACTTTATGATGTCATAACGATTTTTTTGGCTTGTGTAACCATTAGCCAATCAGCAACCAAGGTAACCCCCCCCCCCCCCCCTTATCACCTGAATCTCCTCCTAGAGCACCATTGAGTTCTTTGTAACCAAATCTCTCTCAGAGGGGCGTGGGGAGGGGCTCCTTATTTTCATCTAAAGTAACAGACAGAGAATCAGCACTTTGGAAACAGGGCTGAAACAGAGGGGATTATGGGTAATGCTGCAATGATCTGTTTGGTGTTTGGAGCCAAACACTTCAGAGACATGTTTTGTATATATCTGAGACCTATGATATATTGATGAAAAACAGTATAATAGGGGACCTTTAAGATTACACATTTATTGAGTTGATACGTTTGGCATAACTTATAAATGTATCTTATCTATACGTTTTAAACCAACTCATCTGTTCCACTTTGACCCTGCTGCAGGTGAGAAGCTGGAGGCGTTCCTGCGCTCCCTGAACAGCAGCAAGCCTCAGTACCTGGGCCAGACGGGCCTGGGCATGGCCGAGGAGCTGGGCCGCCTGGCTCTGGAGCCCGGAGAGAACTTCTGCATGGGGGGCCCCGGGATGATATTCAGTCGAGAGGTTCTCCGCAGGATGGTCCCTCACATCAGCACCTGTCTGAGGGAGATGTACACCACCCACGAGGATGTGGAGATTGGCCGCTGTGTGCGACGCTTTGGAGGAACACAGTGTGTGTGGTCGTATGAGGTAAGAACTGAGGCGGTTCTTTCAGGGAAATTCATTGTCATCAAGTCAATATTCAGTGACAGGAAGTATGGTTAGTATTGCTGGATTCAGTTATCAGAAATCCTTTATTTATTTGTCCCGTATTGGGGACATTTACGTTATTAACTTTGGTAAACTTTACAGGTTTATAATATCCTTCTTATAAACAGTTTTCAGTCCCAGTTTAATTAGATATCTCATTCAATCAAAAAGCATGACAACTTATTTTGTTTTGCTTATTTGGGGATGTCAAATCATAGCATGCCATTCCACAACAAAGCTCAGTTTTATTGCCTGTGCAGAGGTTTATATGGACTTTACATTAGGCCTTATGACAGTTAGAGAGTTATTGTGGTACTAGGACATGACCCATGCTCTTACCCTCTCTTTCCACAGATGCAGCAGCTCTTCTACGAGAACTATGAACACAACAAGAGAGGTTTCATCGAAGAACTTCACAGCAGCAAGATCCACAACGCCATTACACTCCACCCCAACAAGAAGCCGGCCTACCAGTACCGTCTGCACAGCTTCATGATGAGCCGGGAGATCTCCAGACTCTGTTACCAAAGCATCCTGCTGCACCGGGAGGGCCTGCTGATGAGTCACCTGAGTGATAGTGAAGTGCTGTGGGAGGACCAACAGCTGGGCTCCTCTCCTTCCTACATGCGCTTTAAAACCAGGCGATAGGAATGATGTCATTGAGTGGGATTTCCTGACTAGTCGCCACATTTATTCTGCTGCAGAGAACAAAGTGGCCCGGCAGAGCCTTGGCAACTTGCTTCGTACTGCAATGGAAGACGTTATACGCCAGGTCATGGAAATGATTAACGAGAATTCCAAAACACGCGGCCGTGTAATCGACTTTAAGGAGATCCAGTACGGCTATTACAGGGTGGATCCCATGCATGGCGCAGAATACATCATAGACTTACTGCTTCTCTACAAGAAACACAAGGGACGTAAGATAACAGTTCCTGTGAGACGACACGCTTACCTTCAGCAGTCGTTCAGTCGTCCCTTCTTCACTGAAACTGAAGAGTTAGACGTGTCTGAACTCGTCGCCGCCATCAACTCTGAGTCACAATCCCTGTCTTTCCTGTCCAACTCTCTGAAGTTTTTGTCACCTTTCCAGGTCTACGAATCAAACAGGGAGATGTGGGAGCAGAGCCAAAGAAAAGTCAACATCCTCGTCCCATTATCAGGTCGCTACGAGAACTTTGTCCGCTTTATGGAGAACTTTGAGAAAGTGTGTTTGATACCCAAACAAAATGTTAAGCTCTCCATCATTCTGGTAGACAATGAGAACATGGAAAAACACGCTCCGTTAATCAAAGACTACAGCAGGAAGTATCCCAAAGCTGACCTGTCAATCATCCCCATGACAGGCAACTTCTCACGAGGCCTTGCTCTTGAGCTGGGCTCCTCACAGCTGGATAACGACTCCTTACTCTTCTTCTGCGATGTTGATCTCATCTTTAGTGGGGATGCCTTGCAGCGCTGCAGAGAAAATGCTGTCCAAGGGAAACAAGTCTACTTCCCTGTTGTCTTTAGCCAGTACAACCCCAAGATAGTGTACTCTGAGAAAGCCCCGAGAGAAAACAAATTTGTGCTGACCAAGAAAAGTGGTTTCTGGCGAGATTACGGATTTGGAATCACCTGTGTTTTCAAGAGTGATTTAATAAAAGCTGGAGGTTTCGACACCTCGATACTAGGCTGGGGATTGGAAGACGTAGACTTGTACACGAAAGTGATTAATTCTGGGTTGAAAGTGTTACGCAGTCAAGAACCAGGAATTGTTCACCTTTATCATCCTGTCCACTGCAACACAAGTCTTGAGCAGAAGCAATACAAGATGTGCCTTGGGTCGAGAGCAAGTACGTTTGCATCGACAATGCAGTTAGCAGAGCTGTGGCTGGAGAAACACGTAGAGACGGGCTACAACAGAACCGCATCCTGACCCTTCAGCCCTCCTGGACTCGACACAGGTGTAGCTCAGGCTGCTGGGACGCATGTTGTGGTGTGACGGAGGATCACAGCTCTTTGTAGCCTGGACAAACTGATCCAGAAAGTGCAGAAAACTGAAATGGACCGATCCAGTAAGGCCACACAAATCCAAACTGACGACACAGCAGGGAAGAAACCAGAGGAAATACAACAGGACGTAACCAAGTATGGTATTGCTGTGTCAACGTGTTGGAAGCCTTCATAAGACAAGTGTCTGCTACCTTATCCAGTTCTAAACCAACTAAGGAAATCATGGACTAAATCCAAATGTGTTGTTAGTTTCAGAATTATTGATTTGTTAACTGCTGTGCCAATGATGCAAACATATAGCTTTGTAACCTTCCAGCTCTTAGGGATTGGTTTAGAGCAGTGTTTCTCAAACTTTTTCATACCAAGGACCACTAAACCAATACAAAAACACTCGCGGACCATCTAACTCCACAAATATCCCAAAACAATAGGCCTGCTTACCAATCCAACAGTATAACAAATTACTGCCTAATAATGACAGCTTAACCTTCTCGCCTCGTTCACACATGAAATCAACAATACAAATACAGATTATATAAGCATTTAGTTCAAATGCGATTTAAAATGCTCAGGTTTTACACCTCTTATGAAATGTAGACTACATTTATTACGGAGTTTATGTCCGAGCCAACAGACTCACAGATCGTTGGCTACTGAGAGATATGTAAAATACACCACATGTAGTACGACACAAACCTCCGCTGTGGATTTTCAAAACAAAATACAGTAAAACTATGGTCGCAGGCCCAAGTTTAACTTTCTGAGGTCGAACGGCCCGTCCACACTACAGCTTCAAAAAAAGCTTGGAGCTGGGCGTGTCTGAAGCTCGACCAACAACCATTCACATGAATCTCCCGCCCCTGACACACAAGCAGCGGTTTGATTGGCTAGAGCTTGTACTGGCATATGATTTGATTGGCTGACGCTTCCACCGAAAACTTCAGAAGCTTCAAAAGTTGAACATTGCTCAACTTTTGCAGCCTGAAACGCCAGGAAAGCTCCGCTCTGCTTCCCACAATGCAGTTCGGCGAAAAGTGACGTCACCCCATTCAAAGTGAATGGGCAGACGCGTTGGAAACCGTTTTTGAAGCTGTCGAAGCTGTAGTGTGGACGGGCCGTAAGCCCTTTTTGCTAATTTTAGGCTCGCCTGGGCTTTTTTTCTAAAAATGCTATTAAAACATGAACCTTGGTGACCATCGGGCTGGCCTGCATGGTCTGCCTACAAAACAAAAATAAAAAACATTTATGCAGCCCCAACAACAGCCTCTGATCATCAACAGATTTCATGCAATGCTTCATTGGATGCATATATTAGATAATAATCTCTATCTAACTCCTAACACATCTGAATCTACTTCCAGCATGGATAAATGTTCGTAAAAGACAACATGGCAACATGTGTGACGAAGGTGTTGCGCTGGGCTCTATCATGCAATCGAAAGTTAAGCTCGCTCCATTGCGGAGATATTCCCGCGAGAGTGCGGAAAACTTTCGAATGTGACATTTTACCAATATACTCACGGCCCACTAGGGGGCGCTCACGGACCACTTTTTAACATTTATATCAGCGGTTCCCAACCTGTGGGAACGCATTGCAAGTGGGCCGCCAAATAATTTGTAAAACATTATGATTTGTGTGGAAACAATTCATTATTAAGATTTTTTTTATTTTAACATCTTTTACTTTCTCTTTCTCGATTCTCCTTAGTCAGTACAGTCCTTGACAGCGCTCTGTACTACTGGACTAACACAGTGTCACATGTTCTGAATTGACCAATCAGAACTTTATTTAGCCTCCGTATTGTTTATGGTTGAATGTGGGCCGCGAAAAAAATTTAGATTCTTAAAGGGGACCTATCATGCAAAATGCACTTTGTGATGTCTTTCATACATCAATATGTGTCCCCGGTGCGTCGGGGAACTCGCGCAGCGTCAGAAAATAAAACCCTCTCTCTTTTCCTCCGTACCCAAATCTTTTAAAAACGGGTGTACAACGAGCGGATACAGATTTGCTGCCGATATTACGTCAAATCGGCGGTGGACCCACAGAAAGTTGCTATCAGAAACAATGCCTGACGTCTTTTGGACGTAATCTTGTCTTTGTTTACATTAGCAAGCCTCGCTAACACTCAGAGCTAACCTGTACTGAAGAGCACATGTGTTTTTAAAAAGCAGGAAATAAAAGAAGGAACTCACCTTGTGATAAACCCGCAAGAGAAAAAGCATTTGAGCTCCATACTGTTTCAGAAATAATCCTTGATGTGGTTTAGAACAGGATGGCATTTTATCACAGCAGAATTTAACTTTATCTCCGGTAGAATTCTGATCAGGCATTAGCTCCGCCTCCTCTTTTTTTTTTTTTCAAGCTAATGTCCCAAAATCCGCGTTTCTCTAACAGGGCTGCAAAATAGGGGTATGAGCAGTATGAGGCATGGCTACAATGGGTGAACTGTTTGGTATTTTATGCAAAAAGCTTCACAGACATGTTTTGTATAGGTATGGCCCTACAATATATTTTTCCAATATAGCATAATAGGTCCACTTTAAGTGGGCCCTGAGTTGAAAAAGGTTGGGAACCGCTGTTTTATATAACATGTGTAAATGACCTATTTTGAGAAGTCCCAAGCTTTGGTTTTTGAACAATGACCAAAGAACAAGCTGTATCACCCAAAATACCTGACGATGGTGATTGCAAGTATTGTAATTGATTGCTTGTTAGCAGTTAACCAGTGACATGAATGGGCTATAGAGTCTTGTGAATGTGGAATATGGTTGCTGTGCCATGAGAAGCAGCATGGACTGCAACGATACAATCTGTAAGTGTTTATCTGTGTGTGAAAAAGAGTCAATCTTCATTAGGCGCTTTCACACTTGAGTACTTTTCCCTTTTAGTTCCGATAGTTCCTGGGATTTTGCGTTCACACCAAAGAGAGAACTTAGTTCATGAGAACTTTCTCCCCTTTTTAGTGCCTGCTAGAGAGGTGGTACTTTCCTGGGAGAAAAAAGTTCCAATTTCTGATTGGCTGGGCGAATTGCAAACCACGCCCCGTAAAAAGTTTTTTGAAGCTGCCATTGTATTTACTGGCATTAGCATTATTAGCATAAGCCCCGCGCACCAACGGAGAGAGAATAACTTATGGCAACACAAATAAAAAAACATGGAAGCGGTGGAGATGAGGAGGTGTCCCAGCAGCTTCTACTGAAACCAGTCCCCAACTCCGGGGACTTCGGGTGGCAGTATACGCCGTGAAGTTGTTTGCGGCCTGCCAGTAAACCCAAAGTAGAAGAAGAAGAAGTGACGTCAGCGGCTTCATTTGCGTTATCTTCCCTCAGGGAACTTATTCCGGTGTGAACGCAATCTGCTCTTTAGTTCCATGGGGGAACTAAGTGCTAAGTACGGGAAAGTACTTGGTGTGAAAGCGGCTAATGAGAAGTTCCTTTCTACTCACCTGAAGCTACGGCTGCTTACTGTCCCTGCTCAAATGATTCCTGTTGTACTACTTTGCTAACATTATTTAGCATGTTCTCTATTTCTCTAATTTCAAGTAGTTGTTTTATATATGTTTTACTAATGCCAAACCCTTCAGCAGCTCAAGACTGTCCTGCATTTCTTCCATTCATCAAAATGTAACTCCAGTGGACAGCTGATAGAATGTTTCCTTTAATAGCAGCTATCATCACTATGCCATTGGCTGTAACCTTTGACCTTAAAATGTAATGCCTACCTGAATGCTCACTATTGTCTGATTGAATCAAACATGCCAGAACAATCGTCTTAGAAAGTGTTGAATGTTAAGAATCTTCTGTGTTGCACTCTTAAGATGCTTGACAACAACATTGTTTTTTTAAGGCACTCTAAAGGCCCTAACACGCCACGCCTCAAAGAACTGGTTTCAGCAGAGTCTGTGTTGCCTTACGTTACCTAGGTCATGGCCAAAAAGTTGCACTTGAACAATGGTTGTTAAAAGAGAACTGGATACAGCAATGGAGGCGAGTCCCTGTTTATTCCTATAAAAGTTGCCCAGTGGCGCATGAAGCCAAAATGGCCTGAGTCCTTAAAACTAAAACAGGCCCATAGAGCATGTGCACCCTCGTTTCCCTTAAGCCCCTCCTCCATTCAGCTCATCTATACAGCAGCCATTCTCTGCTTATTCAAATGAATGGAAGACAGAAAATAAAAAATCAGGATTCAGCTTTTAGGGCATTTTACAACGTTAAAGTGATTAAAGAAAGGCTATTAGAATGTCCTCTGAAGTTGAATCACGCAAAAAAAAAACGCTTATTTACAGTCGACCTAGTGTCCAATCGGTGTTACTACAACTTCCATTTCAGTCCAAGAGGTCATAGGGCCCAGAAGGCTCTACCCCATTGACTTAAATTGGGAAAAAGACGTCTGTAAATCAACTGATATATATTTTCTTTTTTAGCTTTGAGCTCAAGTAGGCAGAACAACACTTGAATAGCAGATATTGATTAGTCATTTTGTTCTCGAAAGTCACTGAACATCTTCCATAGAAATGAACAAGCCCCGCCTTCAACACCGGATCTAGTTAACTTATATCCATATTTTAAAGGTCCCCTATCATACTGTTTTTCATCACTATGTTATAGCTCTCAGATATATACAGAACCTGTCTCTGATTGGCTGAAACACCAAACAGATCATTGCAGCATTACCCATAATCCCCTCTGTTTCAGCCCTGTTTCCAAAGTGCTGATTCTCTGTCAGTTACTTTAGATGAAAATAAGGAGCCCCTCCCCACGCCCCTCTGAGAGACATTTGGTCACAAAGAACTCAATGGTGCTCTAGGAGGAGATTCATGTGATAGGCGGGGGGGGGGTTACCTTGGTTGCTGATTGGCTAATGGTTACACAAGCCAAAACACCATTATGACATCATAAAGTGGCCAAAATCTAATCAGCTCATTTTCAGACAGGTTTTTATAGAAATGGATCAAAAAGAGAGAGAATCTTTGTTCTTGAAACTTTCAGAATCTCTTTCCACAGAGGGGACACATGTTGATGTAGAAGAGACATGAAGAAGAGGGGACACATGTTGATGTAGAAGAGACATGAAGAAGAGGGGACACATGTTGATGTAGAAGAGACATGAAGAAGAGGGGACACATGTTGATGTAGAAGAGACATGAAGAAGAGGGGACACATGTTGATGTAGAAGAGACATGAAGAAGAGGGGACACATGTTGATGTAGAAGAGACATGGAGAAGAGGGGACACATGTTGATGTAGAAGAGACATGAAGAAGAGGGGACACATGTTGATGTAGAAGAGACATGAAGAAGAGGGGACACATGTTGATGAAGAAGAGACATGAAGAAGAGGGACACATGTTGATGTAGAAGAGACATGAAGAAGAGGGGACACATGTTGATGAAGAAGAGACATGAAGAAGAGGGGACACATGTTGATGTAGAAGAGACATGGAGAAGAGGGGACACATGTTGATGTAGAAGAGACATGAAGAAGAGGGGACACATGTTGATGTAGAAGAGACATGAAGAAGAGGGGACACATGTTGATGTAGAAGAGACATGAAGAAGAGGATTTTGTACAATAGGTGACCTTTAAAGGCGTGGCAAGACCCTGAACTTTAGTAGAAAGGTTCCAAAAACGATTGGGTGCAGTTGAGGAAACGTCATGGTACCAAATGCCATTTCCAATCGGTGTTGGGCAGACCTTCATGGGGGGGGGAGTAAAGTGCCTGAGCAGGTTACGTTTCCTCTGATGGGACATTCAGATAAAGTGCAATGTCTTGTGTTTTTTTTAGGCATTTGCTTCTAAACTGTAATCTGCCGGTACTAAAGGAAATGTATTTCACTGTTATAATATGAGCTTCTTCTTACTGCCATAGTTATTATAATGTTTACACTTCTGTCTCAGGACAACATTTAATCACCAGGTGCATTGCAGCCCTTTATGACACCACGTTCCTTCAGTTACTGCATACCAAATGTACAGAAATCTTTCGTGTTGTAACATGCATCCTAATGAGAAACTGAGCAGATGTTTTTTTGGCATGAGTTCAGCCGAGTGAATCACTGTACACGCCTCTATCTTTTCAGCAACACATACAAATAAATTGTAATGTGAACAATGTCAGTTAAATGTCATCACCAGGCAAATAATAGCTGGTGGATAATGCTAAAATATAAAGTTAACTATATTGTAATTATGTAAGGTACCAGATTTTATGTGTCAGTGTTTTTCTGAGCAATAAAGAAATGAATGACGCAGATCACACACTGTCAAACTCAATTTCATCAAGGGCCACATTAGCATTATGGTAATATACATATATATATATATATATATAAAATAATGTATTATATTACACTATTGCCTCTGAATTGGATTATTATCGGATAGGATAATAACTTAGTAATTGCAAGTCCCTTCAGTGTGCATGCAGTGTGCAAGTCACAAAACGAGATGCATTGTGGGACATGTAGTTTATGAGCAACCTGCTTCTGTAAAGTGGCATGTAACCGTATAATAAACGTATTATATTATTTGCAAGTGTAACAGTGTAAATAGTGAATGTTTGTTTTATTAAATCCTGTTAAACTGGGACTACAGCCATAGTTTTGTCATTTTATTTTATTTTTGAAAAGTCGCAGCTGGAAGCTAGTGTTGCGCTGAATGTGGTGCATTTTGGGAATCTGTCAGCTTTGGGTGAGTTGTTGCCAGTGGCGTAGCCAGGAATTATTGTGTGGGTGGGCCTGGAGAAATGTAGGTGGGCCAGGGGGAGACATATTAAGCGTGGGGTCTGAGCTGAAACTTCATTAATGATTTTTTAATGCACTAATAGAACATAAGCATAAATTAGCAGTGAAAACAAAAAACATAGGCACGGCGGCCTCAGAATGTGTGTAAAACTGACATCCACAGGGATGGGTATTGTTAAGGCTTTAACGGTACTACTACTTTTATCGATAGCGCTTATGCTCCAGGTTCAGTA